TCGTGTGGGAGACAAGGAATGGAGGCTCAGAACACATGCATTCCCCTGTCTGACAGTGAGAGGACAGAGGTATCTTCACTTGAGTTGGGCTCAGTGTCTTCCCACAGAAGACAGGGAATAAAGCAGCGGGTAACACAAAGTAGTCTACTCCCTTTTTCGCCTTATACACAAAATCCTCCAGCCATAAAGTTTGCTTCCCTTTTGAGGCAATACACTATTTCCTGTTTTCCAGTGCTAAACCCTAATCTTTAGTGTGGAAATGAGTCTAGCTACATAACCAAGGCAGATCTGCAACTTAAGTCCAGCTGCCTCAGCCTCACAGGCTGTGGGCTCTCAATTGTAACAACATAGCCAGCTCTTCCCTGTCGTTCTCACAACACAGACCCCGACCCCACAGTACACAGTACACAGTACACAGGCTACAACTTTAAGTGGAGACTTTTTATTTAAAAAAATTTCATGCAGAGTGCATGCCTTTAATCCCAGCACTCGGGAGGCAGAGGCAGGCGGATCTCTGTGAGTTCGAGAGCGAGTGCCAGGATAAGCTCCAAAGCTACACAGAGAAACCCTGTCTCAAAAACAACAGCAACAAAAAATTCATACATTATATTGTTCATGTTTTCCTCCTCCCCAGTTCCTCCCACATCTTCCCCAACTCCCTACCCACCCAACATTGTTCTCTCTTAAATAATCAACAAAACCAAAAGCACACACATACACAAAAAAACCCCACAAAAATGGACCTTAAACAAGCAAAAGATGAGTGTGTGTTTGTGTGTGTGTGTGTGTGTGTGTGTGTGTGTGTGTATGCATATACCCAAGCAGGCAAAATGAGACAAAAAGTCTTCAAAAACTACCATTGAGTTCATTTTTGTTGGTCAACTACTAAGCATGGAGCCTTCCCTGAAGTGTGCTTAATAGACCTAGTGAGACTTCATTGGAATAATACTGTTATTTCCTTTTCCAGGTGGTATTAATTGCAGATAGCTACTTGGTTAGGGGTGAGTGCCCACGTGCCCCTCTCATTGCTGGACCCCATCCAGCTTGAACCCATGCATGCCTTGTGTGCTGCCACAGTCTCTGTGTCGTCATATGTGCAAATGTCCTGTTGTGTCTGGAAAATACTATTTCGTTAGAGTCATCCATTACCTCTGTCTCTTACAAATCTTTCTGCCTGCTCTTCTACATAGATCTAAAGGGATATTTTTAGCTTAAAAAGTCTGAAAAGAAATTCTTAATATAAAGTATGTGTTTCTACACTGAACTGCCTCAGTCCAGCCTCAGCCTGGGCTCAGGTCCTGAGACGGGGAAGGGGCATCATACTTGCCCTTGTCTGACCACCAAATGAATTTCATACAAGTGGCCAGCCCCAAATAGCTCCAGCCATCTTTATTTATACATCAAAACAAGCATGTTTTTCCATGCTAACAAGTTTTTTCCCATCCTCCAACTTTAACCCCCAGCAAAAACAAGTATGTCAAATATGTTTTTTCCGAACATTAATATCAAAACATCTTAAACCAAAAACAACACTCATCATTTTGTTAGCTTGGCCAACTATCAAGCCAAGTACATCCTTTCTTTACAAAACTAAAAGGTGATTGACATAGGCACACATTTTCAAGACACAACCCATTCAAAACATATTTACAGAAATAGAGGTGGTCTGCCCTGATCCTGTCAGCACTGAATTAGAACAGCTCCTGGGGTCTGAAGTGACAGCTGGTATCCCCCAACAAGAAACCTGGGAAGCATAAGCTCCCAAAGAATTTTATGGGGAACATTGGAGAAAAAATGGGCCTTCCAGGAATTGTCATATCTGTCTCATGTATGATTGACAAAAATGATACTAAAACAGCCTTGAGAACCATCAATCATTGTAACAGGGAAGAGTGTGTAGAGGCTGTATGGTTCCAGCAGTACTCTGCACTGTCCCCTAAGTCCACTGGTCCTTGCCAAGTGAGACTGTCCCCATGGGCTTTTGCCTCATCTAGAGAGCCGTTGGACAGTCACTCATATACTGGTATAAAAACTAGGCCACACGGCTCCCAACACTGAACTTCTGGCTATATTTGCTCATGTGGCATTTATACTGAAAAAGATCATGTGTGTGTGTATACATATGTGCAGACTGTTCTCCATGACATACATCACATTGAGATGTGACTGTCCAGACATTTATGCTTTTATATCCCTTCCCACTTTGTTTTTATTTTAGATCTTTTTCAGTGCTGTAGATGGAACCTAGAGAGCTTTGTATGTGCTTGGCATGTGCTGTTTTCCTGGGCTGCATATCCAGTCAAAGTCCATGGATTTTTACACTTTGCACATCTGCCTTCAGGGTAGCATCTGTGTCTTTCTTTGCATGTGTACATCATCTGAAACTCACGCACCGTTCTCAGTGTGTGCTTCTTTCTTTACACGTGTACATCATCAACACCCACCCACCATTCTCAGTGTGTGTTTCTAATGGTAACAAAATTCACAATATATCATTTGATTTAATAGACCCTGAAATGTATGCTCTTCCTCTTCACTGTCTTAGCCATCTCCAACCTCTCTCTTGTTGATGGCCTTTAATTTCAATTTTCTTTTTATCAAACTTGCCTGAGGTGGGCACCTCAGCTCCTTTTGTCTGAGCCTTACAGGGGAAAACTGATATTAGCCGCAAATTCTTTGTCACCAGCCTCCCATGCAGCACCTTTATGCCCTTTTTTTCCCTAGTCCTCTCATTTTCCTTGGAAGCTGTTTCCGGCCTTCCTCCCTGGCTACACATCTCCAACTTTCCATTTCTCATTTTTAGCAGATCACTTGGTGCTTCCTTTCACAATGAAGTTCTCTGTCAGGAAGCCTATAAATACACACCTGTACCCATTCTGATTTGTTTGTTTTTGCTGGGTTTATTGGGAGGGAAGTCATAAGGAGTAGAAAACACACATCTTTAGGAACTGTCTAGGAAGTCAGGGTTACTATTTGTGTAATGAAAACAGGATGACCAAAGTTTGGGAGGGAAAGGGTTCATTTTGCTTATGATTCCACATCACTGTCATCACTGAAGGAAGTTGGGACAGTAGCTCACACAGGGCAGGAACCTAGAGGCAGAAGCTGAATGCAGAGGCCATGGAAGGGTGCTACTGACTGGCTTGCTCAGTCTGCTTTCTTACAGAACCCAGGACAACCAGCCCAGGGATGACCTCACCCACAATATGCTGGGTCCTCCAACATCAGTCACTAATAAAGACAATGTCCTACAGGCTTGCCTACAACCGCATTTTGTGGAGCCATTTTCTCACCTCTCAGATGATTCCAAGTTGGGTCAAGTTGACATAAAAACTAGCCAGGACAGCAAACAAGTGTGTAATATAACAACATGAAACATTAGGTTAAGGGCTAGACTGTGGCTATAGTGAATATATTTTAATACATCTGTGTGCCCACTAAAAAGAAGAAAAATAAAAAGACCACCTTGTTGTATATAAAATTCCACAAAATGGGATGGGAATATAGCTCAGTTGTTAGAATACTGGCCTTGTATGCAGGAAGTGCTGGGTTCAGTTCCTAGCACCACATAAACTGGGTGCCATGCTAAATACTTTGTAATCCAAGTATTCTCAGAGTGGATTCAGGAGCATCAGGAGTTAGGTTCATCCTTGCTAAATAGTGAGTTCAAGGGATATACATGAGACCCTGTCTTAAAATATTAACAATAGCAATGATAGTGGTGGTGCATGTCTTTAATCCCAGCAGTAGGGAAGCAGAGGCAAGTCTGGTCTGCATAGCATATTCCCGGCCAATCAGGACTATATAAGGAGACCCTGCCTCAAAACAAAATAACTAACTAAATAAATAAAATCACAAAGCAAGGATGTACTGAGTGCTCAGATGTGCTAGTTTCAGCCCCCACTTCACAGTCTTTTGTCCCTGCTGTTGAACCCTCACAGGGTTTTGCTGCTCTTCACAGTCTTTTGTCCCTGCTGTTGAGCCCTCACAGGGTTTGGCTGCTCTTTCCTCAGGAGCTCTACACTGTTGACTGCTCCATCTCCTTCGAGTGACCTTTCCTGTTGTTTGTGACTCACACGGCTGCCGACCTTTTCCTCCTTTGCTAGTCCTTTAGGTTCCTCGGACGTGTTACCTTTGCCCATCCTTGAAATGTTTGTGTTTATACTCCTCTGGATTATGTCATAGTCTTTGTGTGGTTAGTAAACTACAGGTTTGTCTGTGATCCTTCAGGAAGCCAAAGCCAAGAGGAAGTAGGATAAACATATTAATTTATAATTAATGAGCATTCATTATGTGCTGTGAATTTTGTAAGCATTTAATATGTATTGTTTGATATTATCTTTATCAGAATTCCATTAGGTAAACACTGATGTTTAGACAAATGTCATACTTTAAGTTACTCATTTGTAGAAGCTAAATTCTGGAACTTACCTTCCTAAATCACAGAACTGTACCCTCTCTCAAGACAGTTGTATGATTAATAGTGTTTTTGAAGGATGAAGCATTCTTTGGCAGAACAGAATCTTCTTTTAGGATATAGGTATTAAATGATGTACAGGATGATCCCTGGGAAGCATCAGCGAATCCTCAGCTAAATCCTATAATGAGCTCAGTAGCATTCCATTCTCACAAAGAACCCTGTGTAGGAGGCCATGATGTTCACCAAAGCAAAGCCCTGTTTTCAGGGTTCCCGAAATCATGTCTTTCAAACAGCTCTTGATAGAAATTTGGAGCCTGCTGTTTCAGTGTTGTATTTTGTTTTCAAGAGGGAATAAATTTTGTTGATCATCTTTGTATGTACAATATCTAGCCCAAACCAAGATTATTTACAAGTAATCTTGTGAATTCAAGATGACCTATCTTTGAGTAACTATTATGAATAATTTGAACATGTTTTAGTTTAGTTATGAGGTCATTTCATAGATTAGCAGAAAAATTCACTACAGAATTCGGTCTACCATGTTCACTTTGAAACGTGTAATTCTTCTTTTGATTTATAGTCATCTGAGCAAGATCGAAGAAACAACTCTGAACTTCAAATCCGATGTCAGCGTTTAGCCTTGGAATTGGCAGACACCAAGCAGTTGATTCAGCAAGGTGATTACCGTCAAGAGAACTACGACAAAATCAAGAGGTAAGGTGGCCGTGGGGATTTCCACTTTTAGTGTGCGCCACAGTCACCTGAATTTGTGTCACCCACATAGTTATTTCTCCATTTCCTTGTTCATTGTGTGAAAGTGTGCAGCTTGGTGGGCACCAGCTGTGGTTTCATAATGGTGGTTTTAGTGTATGTAGAAGTTGCTACCACCCTTTAGGATGTAAGAGAAAATAGGACCCCTGTACAATGCCTTGTGTGAATATTTGCTAAGTGTTATTTGATGAATTCCATGTAATGTCAGGTTAAGTGTTTAAATTTTCTCGTGTTTTCTTTCTTGCTTTCTTTCTTTTCTTTTGTAGCTGTTCCTTTTCCAACAAAAGGTTTTCACTCTTTAGAAACAGAATTTTGTAAGAACATTTTCCAAGTATATTGCTGCTATGTAACTGGGAAAATCTTCCTTTAGCTGGAAGGGACTTCTCTATTCTATATTTAATGAACTTCTCTGATGTGTCCCTTAATCTCACTTCAACCTGAGTGTTGTCAGATAATATTAACCAAAGGAGACCAGTTGGCGGTGGTGCACACCTTTAATCCCAGCACTCGGAAGATAGAAGCAGGCATATCTTTGAGTTCAAGGCCAGCCTGGTCTACAGAGTTGAGTTCACAGATAGCCAGATCTACACAGACATCTCGAAAAACAAAACAAAAAACAAAAACAAACAAAACAACAACAAAAGATTAACCAAAATCATTGCCAACATTTTATAGTATGTAAGTAATGTATCTTTGTAGGTAGGGTGTATTTATCTTACTTGTTCATTTGTTATATCTTCTCTAGGTAGAATTCTTGAAGTTCAGTAGTCAGTCAGTGATAGAATGTTGTAAGTGAATTTACAAGCATTTAGCACATACATTGGTATTTTTATTCCCACCTTGATTGGTATGTGGTATGTAATATAGTATTTATCATTATTTCCTAATGCAGTAATTATTTGATCTTTAAATCTATGAGAGCTAAACTCAGTAAACTCCTGAAGAAAGCTGAATTTTGAAAGAAACATTTGTATTTTTAGTTAAGTTTTTTTTTTTTTTTTTGGTTTTTCGAGACAGGTTTTCTCTGTGTAGCTTTGGAGCCTCTCCTGGCACTCTATCTGGAGACCAGGCTGGCCTCAAACTCACAGAGATCCTCCTGCCTCTGCCTCCCGAGTGCTGGGATTAAATGCATGCGCCACCAACACCCGGCTTTAGTTAAGTTTTTATTAGTATATATTAATAATACATTATAATGGGTTTCATCATGACATTTTCATACATTTATATAACATTTTGATCATATTCTCCTGACTACCCTCTATTGTCCCCCATCAACTCCGACTGAAACTGCTTTCCCTCCAACTATTCCCAAGAAGCTCTTAAAATGAAGTCATTTGAGATGGTAAGATGATACTTACAATTGATATTTTTATGTCTTACTTTCCTCTCCAAATCTACAGAAATGGTAAATAAAATGAGAAAAATTACAATCATCAGAATAGTCCAGAGCTCTCTGACTCATTTTTTTTCAGTAAAAGAAACAAGACAAGTTGGAGTTTATAATTATCAAGGCTGCATGATAAAATCATGGGTGTTCATTATAGTATCTCTATTTTTTATAATAAAAAACTAGGAAGAAAATGATAACCTTGATTAAAAAGTATAAGCACTTCCATATGTTAAAAATATGTCAATAAATTGGGCGAGGTGGAGTCCACCTGAATCTGTGGTTCAAATATGTTAAAAAACATGTATAAGTCATATATGGTGACTACACACCTATAATCCCAACCAGTGTTTGAGATGCTGAAGTAGGAAGATTCTTGAGTGCCTTGTGGGCTCTGACAAAAATCCTAATTCAAAAACTAAGCCTACTATTATATGTAGCTCACTAGTAGAACACTGTGACCCCGAGTTCAGTCACCAGAACTACACAGAATTAAAAAGAAAAGGACAAGTCATGAAAATATAAGGTAACCTGAGAGATATGTTCCTTTATAAGTGTTCACAAATATATGAAATTTATCAGTATATGATATCATATCATCTAGAATTCAAATGTTTCTGAATTACAAATTTATTCCTACATAAAATTCTATATGGCAGTTAAAACTATTAATTTATACTGGAGTCACTTGTTTCAACAGCTCCAGAACTTCTGGTATAACATGTTCCCTTGACCCTTCCACTAAAAAGTTCTGGTTTCTAGTAAAAGAAAGTGCTATTTCAAAGTCAATATTTGGGCTGTGATCATTGCTATATCAGCCATTGTTTCTTGCAAGGACGGAGAGAGGAAAGACAGAAGACCATAACACACTGAACAAAATTTTATTGATACTTCTAGTACCAGTTAACACCACAATATCAACTATAGAACCTCCAGGCGATTAAATATAGTACAACCTGGGTATAAAAATAAATACTGACAATTATGAGTTATAACCCATTTATAAAATAAGAATCTACAAGGGCATACTAACACTAAATGGGGACTGAAGATCTGAACAGTACCATTTCAGCTAGTAAACGTGTATGTCAGGATGGTTGCTTTATAGCGTCATTAATCGTATTTCATCTGAATCATCAGTGAATCTGCAGCCTTGGGTGAGGTATGTCACAGAATAGGCTGTATCTTTCATCTGTGTGGCATATTGGAAAGCCAGTCTCTGAGTCCATGGAGTCCCAAGGTCGTTCTGACTAGGGAGGAGGAGTTAGGAGCAGTCCCATTTCTTGGCTCAGTTTTAAGGATGCCGATTTGGTCCAGTTCTTAGTTTTACTGTTCTGGAAGAGGGCTAGTCTGAAGGAGAAATGTACTATATCTGGCTTAATCATAAGCAATGTGTGAATGAAATAGTGCCTTGAATGCCTGCTTATGTACTGCTGTGTAATGTGAGTTAGAAATTATGATGGGTGTTTGACCCTAATAAAGCCTGAAGCTGTATTTAAGTTCTTCAATTTCAAAGCTTTGATTTCAAAGTAAGATTGAAATCCTGTGAGATGGCTCATGCTTGTAATCACAGCATGGGGAAACCAAGACAGGAGAGTTGCTATGAGTTCTTGGCTAGTGTGAGCTAAGTGAGACCACGTCTGAAACAGCAGCAACAACAAAAATCTTTTTAGATGGGGGTTTTAGAATATTATTCTAAGGTGTGTTACTTTTGTTTATGCCCTGGAACATTTCTTTAATGATGCAAAGATGTGTTTGTGTTTGATTAAATAAAATTCACCTGCAGTTGGGAGGCTGGGTCAGCAACTAGCTGACAGGAAGTAGTAGGGAGGAGCCTGGTGGAGAAGGTTTATAAGCAGGGGCAAGAATGCCTGTGGAGGACTTCTTGGGAGACAAGAGGTGGGCTGCTTGGTATTTGGCCTCTCTGGGAAGCAGAATTCTACCTCAACCTTTGAATCTGGAGTTCTTCAGCGGGACAGAAACTTAAATGTTTCCTTAGTAGCTTTGAAAGATTTGGTGCCTGACGGAACCAAATTCCTCAGGCTTTGGCTCTTGCTGCCTAGCCACTGTTGGTAGTGGCAGGGGGGGGTTTTTTGTTGCTGAATCAATAGGATAATCAATAGGTTAGCCATAGCTTAAAAGGCAGCAACAATTAAAGAAGAAAAACAGGGATGAAATTGTACCTTAGAAAGAATTGTGTCATTTACTCTGTGTATTTGTATAACACTAACACTAATGTTCCTAGTTACATATCTCAACGAGGTCTTAAACCTTCTGAATTTGGAAAGTAGATACACAAAAGCCCCACTGTTCTGGTCAGCCTCTGGCCACTCAACCCCTTTCAACTGTGAAGAGGTTTCCATATTTACATGTGGATTTGATTTGATTTTCCTAGTGAGCGCGACGCTCTGGAACAGGAAGTACTCGAGGTTAGAAGAAAACATGAAATACTTGAAGCTTCTCACATAGCTCAGGCTAAAGAAAGAAGTGAATTATCAAAAGAGGTAAGCTCCCAAGTCGACTCACTCATGTTTATTGTATATTAACACACAAATAGCCCAAGATAAAGACATGGGAGAAACCATATTTTTCTCCTTTTAATGTAGCTACCAGGAAGAGAGATAGACTTAGCAAGTTTGCATAAACAAGGCTAAGTTTATCACTTTAAGATTTATTTTTATTTATTATGTATACAGTGTTCTGCCTACGTGCCAGAAGAGGGCACCAGGTTACATTACAGATGGTTGTAAGCCACCATGTGGTTGCTGGGAATTGAACTCAGGACCTTTGCTAGAGCAAGCAGTGCTCTTAACCTCTGAGCTATATCTCCAGCCCAAGTTTATCACTTTTTAAAGGAGAATTTTTATGTGATACACACAGGGAAAGTCATCATTGAGAAGTAACACCTCACGATCGACATGTCTCTGAATTTCCATAGGTAACAACCTTGCAGCAGACAGTCACCCTCCTGCAGAAGGATAAAGAGTACCTCAATCGCCAAAACATGGAGCTCAGTGTCCGCTGTGCCCATGAAGAGGATCGCCTGGAGAGGCTGCAGGTGCAACTGGAAGAGACCAAAAAGGCTAGAGAAGATATGTATGAAAAATACGTGTCATCCAGGCAAGACTCATGCTTCCCTTGTGATAGATGTAAATGAGCTCTTGGTGTGTGGATGAGAACTGATTTATGGGAACACGAGTGGTTTAAGGTCTACAGGTCCCTTTCATTTCGTCCCTTGTTAGCTTTTCCCGTTGATCTTTTAGTGATACTGTGATTTTCCAGGAACCACAACGGCCTATTTTTCTTCTTTTAGTTAAAACAATTAATTGGCATGTATTTATTATAACATGTATTTATTATAACAGTTATGGGCTATCATAGTCATTTCTTATTGTACCTCATGCACTGTGTTCATATTCACCAGTCCCATTACTCTCCTGTCTCTCCTCCCACTCATTCCAAATACCCCCACTTTTACCTTCACCCCGTATATACTGGGTTGCTGCCCTTGTGCAGTAAGTGCCTTTATCTGCTGAGTCATATTGACAGCCCATAACTTACTTTTTAACAATATTTTTAATATCCTATTGCTGGTGGAAAGCCCTAGGTTTAGTTCTAAAAACAGCAGAGAAAAAAGTTCTGTGACCCTGTGACTAAGATTATTTATTAGTAGTTTTTGGAAGTCTGAAAATAACCTATAGAAATACCATTTTGAAGGAAATCTAAGTACACTTAGGATTTCTCTGACAAATATGAGTCACAAGGTACTTACTAATTATATGGTTTTTCAAATCACAGATCTTGGGCTCAGACCACCTGCATCTCAAGTCTACCTTCGCTCTTCTAAATATGTGTATGCTCTGAAGTTGCTTTATACTAATAGCCCTCATAATCCTTGGGCTATTTATATTCATCAGCAAGCCAAAAGCTAAAAAAAAAAGTTAAAATTTGGTGTTGGGGAGTTGACTCAGCAGTTAAGAGCATTGTTGGGGAAAAATTCTAACTAGGTAAAGATCCTTTCTTGTTGCAGAATATTACTTTTAACTGTGTAAAAGGTGTGTGACATTTTGTTTGTGCTGCATTTATTTAATGATGTAAAGATGTGTTACATTTGTTTATACTGCATTTGCTTAATTGTGTAAAGAGGTGTTGCATTTGTTTCACTTTGCCTGCCTTCGGCACCTGATTGGTCTAATAAAGAGCTGACTAGCCAGTAGTTAGTCAGAGAAAGGATAGGCAGAGCTGGCAGGCAGAGAGAATAAGTAGGAGAAATCTTGGCTCAACAAGGTGGAGAGGAGAAGAGAATGAGTTAGAAAGGAAAGGAGATGCCCAGTTCCAGAAGCCAGGCATCTGCCAGCCAAACACAAGAAGCAGTGAAAGTGAGATGCAGAAAAAAGGAAGGTAAAAAGCCTGGAGGCCACGGGTAGATAAAGAGAAACAGGCTAAGTTAAAGAGTTAGCCAGAAATGAGCTGAGGTAAGGCTGAGCATTCATAACTAACAAGCCTCTGTGTCATGATTTGGGAGCTAGGTGGTGGCCCAAAAAGAAAAAGCCTGGTACAGAGCTGGGGCTGCTCTTCCAGAGAACCTGGGTTCAGTTTCCAGCACCCTCATTGTGGCTCACATATGGTGGCGTCACCATCTCAAAGTCCCGTCTCCAGGAATCTAACACCGTTTTCTGGCCTTCATGAGCACTGCGTGCACATAGAGTGCATATATGCAGCAAAACATCCATACACATAAGATGAAGGAGAAACATTTCTGACTTCCCTCAGCCTGTTTACTTCTATTGGTTTGTGCTGTGCTTGCCACTCATGCCCTGTATACACTTTGACTTTACCTTAAAAAAAAAAAAAAAATTCATGTGTGACTGTTTGCTGTGCTGAGAAGGAAATGTTTTATAAAGTCAGAATGATCTCGGCATTCCATTTTTATTCTTTATGTCTCAACATGCAAATCTGTGTACATCAGTCTTCAGGCCTCAGCCCTGTGCTTTGAAAAGGACGTTGACGATGAGCACCCAACCTAAGACTAAATCTGCTGTAGTAATTAATGAAGCCCATAGAACAATAGTGGTGTATTCATAGGCTGGTGCTTTGAAACGGTGTCTTAGGAATTCTAAAACACCTAAAATGGCTCAATTTTTTAACATGTTATAAAGCATACTTTCATATAAGATATTAAAATCTTACTGGAAAACAAGTCTTTTCTCATGAAAGAAAACATGACTGTTCTGTTGTTTTTGCAGAGACCATTATAAAACAGAATATGAAAATAAACTACATGATGAGCTGGAGCAAATCAAATTGAAAACTAATCTGGAAATTGATCAGCTTCGAAGTGCCTCTAGGGAGATGTATGAACGAGAAAACAGGTAAAAATGTGATTGAGCAATTATGTTTTTCTTTGGAGATTATAAAAATTTCATTGGGGCTGGAGAGATGGCTCAAAGGTTAGGAGCACTGGCTATTCTTCCAGAGGTCCTGAGCCACATGGTGGTCACAACCATCCCTTATGAGATCTGGTGCCCTCTTCTGGTGTGCAGATAGACATGGAAGCAGAATGTTGTATACATAATAAATAAAAAAAAAATTCATTGAAATTAAATGCCATTTCTAAGATGTCTTTTTAATAGTTGTAAATATAAATTGAGAATTAGAATTTTAAAATCTTTGGTAGCTAATTACAACAGAATGTATACTTTAGGTCTTTTTCCTCTAATAATGTGTCTGTTTCCTGGTGGCTCAGTTCAGACCAAAGACAAGAATAAGATAATTCAGAAAGTACTAAGACAGCAATAGTTCTACCAACCATTTCTCTTGGATACTTGTAAAAAGTGCAATAGTATATATATTTTATTTTACTGCTTGTCCTGAAAGATGTTATATTAGAATATTTTTATTCACAAGTCACTTTTGAATGATTATATGATAGGTTCCTCGAGTAATTGTTGGCACAGAAGAGTAACTGGGAAGAGAGGAGGGGGTGTGTGGTCGGGATGTAAAATAAATTAATAATAGTTTAAAAAAAGATTAAGTAGATGCTACTTATTTGAGTGGCAGTTGTTTTCATCATGTATTAACTCCTGCCTTCCATTCTCTACTGCCTCTTCACTGCATCCTTCCATCCTCCCCTCGTGTCCTCATGCATCCAAGGCAAACACTACCAACCATAGTGTCACCCCTCCCAGATGCTTAGCAGCAGAAAGACCTGGTGGGTTAAGGGGTAAGAAGAAGCTAAGAATACAACTTGTGGTTGTTAAAACATTAGAAAACCATAAGGCTTTCATAGGAACACATGATGAATTTAGTTTCATTGGAAGCATCTGTGGGATTTACAGATAGAGTAGTGAATTCAAGAGAATGGTCTGCACATGGGAAGACAGAACTGTGGCATAGACCTTTTTCCTAACTACTGTTTGGATTTGTGGCTCAGTTCTTTCCTGCTAATGCATTTTGTAGGCTTTTGTTCTCCTAACCTTAAAACTTACGGCGTCATTTTATATTATGACTAATATATGATTATGCCTAAACAATCCACATTACTGCATGTACTTTGCTGTTTGTGATTAAACATTGTGACGGTTTCCTGATTTTCCAGTTGTCCATCTAAAACCAAAACAAGAACAAAGAGAATCCTTTAAAATACATCCTATCATAGCATAAGTTTAGATGTGTTGACTCCCTCTCTGAAAATAGTATAGGTAGGATGGCAAAGTTGTATAGGAAAATAGGCAGCAACCATTTCCAGGTTTCCCGCATCAATGAAGGCAATTGGGAAAGTCCCCCACACTGGCCAACCTGACCTAGACAGCATCTCCTGGAGACGCTTCCCAAGTGATCAGGCTTTGTCGAGCCGACAATTAAAACTAAACATCTAACACCTAACCAGAAAATTGATGGGATTGGACCTAGGTGCTCCATTCAACCACAGGATTTTAGATGGATCCATAGATAGCAACACTGATAGTTGCCACCAGATGGCGCCAAACTGCAGCTCAATCCTGTGCCAGCACAGGGAAACTTAAGAAGCTTGCTTGTATTTTTTCACGTCACGGTATTCTGCCCCTGTATTTATGTGACTTAATCTTTCATTATGGCAGGTCTGAAATGTAGTTATAGCTTCTTTCCTCTAAGTTCTACACAAGATAAAATAGTAAGTTCTTTTGAAATATGAAAACTTTGAATGGGTAAAGAAAGGTTTTAATATTCCATATAAACAAAATTCAGAAAATGTTTACATACTTCATTGTGTTTTGGATCTATGTGAGTTAACCTTTGAAGTTAGATATATAATGTTGTCCTGTATACTGTATCAGTATGCTATTAACATTATGACTTAAAACGTGGCAAGTATACTTGTGCATTTATAGTTACCTTTCCCTAATAAACACTTTTGGAAGAGAGTAAGAAGCTAAGAGTAGAGAAATACCTTGGACGGTGGAGGGCAGGATGAGGGAAATTCAGGTCGGTGTCGATAATTATTATATAAATAACTTAGTAGGTCTATGTGACAGTTTAAGGTCCCTCTTGAATGTTTAGAAATCAGACATTTTTTTCAGAGTGAGGTTATTTAATCTGCAGTACCAGTATAAAAGGGGTTGAGGCAGGAGCATCACAGGTTCCAGGCCAGCCAGAGCTTCTATACCCAGGCCCATTCTTGAAAGAGAGAAAAGACGGTATTTCATAAGTGAGAGTATATGAGATTTTGAGCAAAAAGACTAAGTTTAAATCCTGTCCCCACCACTCACAGCACTTCATGTCCCTGAGTTTAGTTTCCTTTTTCGAAAAATGCGCTAATAGTAATGCTTCAGGGAGTGGCCCATGAGGTCTGCATTAGATAGAACACGTGAAAAGTGCATTGTAAGTTATAAAATGTGTAATATGAATATAGTTATTTTATACCATTTGTCTCTGTAATAAAATCATTTTACTTACAGGATGACAATCTGAATAAAATGATTATTACATAAAGGCTAGCTAATAGCATGAATTACTACCTTCAAGTCCACCTTTATGAAGTGTAGAGGGTCTAAACGTGCCTGCTTCCCCTAGCAGTTCTGAGGGGGAAATAAAGTGAGGTGACTGAATTCGTCCCGAGCCCAGAACTGCCTTTAATGTAGGATGCGCGCTCTCAGAAGCACAGGAGAACACTGTTGTGACGCGCCGTCTGGGTTTGTTCGAAGCCTTCACTAGGTTCTTCCTGCTGCAGAGTCTGGAAGTTCTCTAGGTTCTTCCTGCTGCAGAGTCTGGAAGTTGAACCGCTCCACAGTCATTTGAAAGGGAGAGAGAGCAGAGTGTAGCACAGAGGAGATTGATAGATGCCTTTAAGTGTAGCCATTAGTGCTGTGTTGCTTTGGTAATTTTATTTCCTTCCCCTCTCAACACTGCACACAATGCACTGCCTCCCAGAAGTGCTCAGGAAGCCTCAGTGACAAATGGGAAATTTCCGTAGAATATTATTGATATTAACCAGCTTTAAGCCTTGGATTTGGATTTACTTATGGGGATCAGTTGAATCTATTTGATCCATCCCAGTAGCTGAACTTGGAGCTAGATTACAGACAGAGGCTTCATTCCACATTTTCAGAGTGAGCATCGTCATCCATGTGCCAGCCAATAAACCTTTGTTCATACCTTGCCAGATAATCTGTAATCTTTAGATTCCTTGGGAAAATGTTTAAATCGTCTTTTCTTTACTTTTTGGTCTTTTCAACTAGATTTTTCTGAAGGAAAGCAAAATGGGGCCAGGTTATTATAATAAATCCTGCACAGAGGTTTCTAACTGATCAGACCTGAGCCTAGAGAATGCTACAGAAGTTACTCAGCTGATCACCTACCCTGTTTGTTCAGTTTCATTTTGATATAACTGCTGCTACGTTTTAAACCTCAGCATCTTTACAGATCTTAACTGAGTATTTTGTTAGGTAAATTTCTCGTGCATATGGACTTCTCTTGTCTGTGTGTTTAATTTGATGTGGATTGGATAGTTATCTCCTTTGAGTTGATAATCACAGCCAGTAATGAGAAAAAGTCCATGTTGAGTGCTGACTGACCTAGCCTATTTTTCCTACTATAACAGAATACTGGAGACCATATAATTTGTAATGAACAGGAATTTATTTTCTCACTGTTCTGGAAGCTGGGAAATTGGATATCAAGGTGCTAGCATTTGGCAAGGGCCTGTTTCCTCCACCCTCACATGGCAGAAGGCCAGAGCACATGTGAAGAGGACAAGAGACAGACAGACTTAACTGTTGGAACATCAGTTCTGCACACAAAGAGGCTTCCCTCAGAGCCTGCTCCTCTCTCTTCTTGTTACTGTTCAGTAGTAATTAAACCTGAACATGACTTTTGAGAAGGGACAAACATTTAAACCATAGAGCTAGTTATAGTACAAGAATAGGAAATTACAGCATTTTTAGTCAACAGTGGTCTCAAAATTGTTTCATCTCCTAAAATACTTAGCTTTTCTTTTAAGAAGACTTATTAAGCCAGGCAGGGTTGGTGCACTCCTTTAATCCCAGCATTCTGGAGACAGAGTCAGGAGGATCTCTAGATTTGAGGTCAGTCTGGTGTACAAAGTGAGTTCCTTGACAGCCAGAACTGTTACACGGAGAAACTCTGTCTCCAAAAACAAAACAAAAACAAAAACAAAGCCATTTTATTAAATAAGAATTCCTCTAGGTACAAAATTCCTCTAATACCAGAAATCAAGAGGCTGAGGCAGGATTGTAAGTTATAGGCCAGTCCTACCCTAAACACTTCCAATTTTTCTAACATTTTTTGTACCATATTCAGATATAAATTTAGATTCAGCCTGTTGAGAGTAGAAATTTTATCTTCTAGGAATGAGAAAATATATTCCATTCTATTCAGTCTGTTTGCACATTTTGTGTTGTATTCTTTAAGCTTCTGTTGTGGAAAACTTTTGGCTATAGTTGCCTGTATTAAATTGTCTACTATCCAAATGACATTTTAGTGCATGTTAAATATGCCCATTTTGTTATAGTAGACCCTTGGTGTATAGATGAATGATTAGGAACTTAAATTTTAGAATTTTTTGTTTTGGGGGCTTTTTATTTTCTGGGGATTTTGTTTGTTTGTTTTCCTCCAAGACAGGGAGGGTTTCTCGGTATAACAGTTATGGCTATCCTGGAACTCTTTGTAACCAGGCTGGCTTTGAACTCCGAGATCCCCTGTCTTTGCCTGCACCTCCCAAGTGCTGAGATTAAAAGCATGCACCACCACCCAGCAAACTTAACTTTTAAGAGATTTTCATTGAGTATTATGACATATTTTTATCTATTTTACCCAAGCAACTTGTGGTTTATGCTAGATTCTCTGTACTAATTATTATAGTATCCTCTTTTGCTATGAAAATGTAATCCAAGATAAATACATAATGCACTCTAGTTACTGTAGTAGATGTCCTGGGATGCCTACCATCTTATTTTTTTCTTTTCTCATCCCTTTAAATGTACCTTTCAACACTAATCTGAAGCAGATAGGAAAATTATATCTATCTACCTAGGAGAGAAGTACTTAGGCAACAATGTGAACGAATCATGAAAAATGGTTTGGTGGTGAAACCTGTATGAGAGTTTTTTTTATACAATTGTTTTTTAGGGTAATTAATCTTCAGACTTATCTGTGGGTTCTCTACTGATTCAACCAACTGCAAATCAAAAGTACCTAGAAACAGATTGTGTTTGTACTACAGGTGTAGAGACTTCTTTGTCATAATTTCTAAAGCCGTACAGTACAGCTTACATGGTGTTACATTGTATTGAGCCTTCTGAGTAATATAAAATATACAGAGAGTGCCTGTTGTAAGTCATGTGCAAAAATGTATGCCATTTTATATTCAAGATGTGACATTTAGCATCCTTAGGTTTGTGTATGCTCAGGCTGGGTTTGTTGTGGGGTGGAGCCAATAGAGGATGGCCAGGAACCCCACACTCCTGAAGATAAGCCAGTTGGGCTGCTCCTGACATATTTCAGTGTTACTCTAATTATATTTTATTACATTCAGTTTGGATTTTTAAAATCTCAACCCATTAGTTTATACATGCTATAGATAGCCTCTGTAAATTTTTCAAGTTTCTTTTTTGAGGAACATTTGAATTCCTGCTGTTTGTTCTATAATCATATTTACTACATCTTCTAATGTATTTACCATTTGGAAATGGATTCTTCATTAATTGTGTGGAAGTTGTTGTTTCATCTGTATCAGGGATGCAGTGCATCTGGTGGCTTGTCACACCAGTCTAATTTTAAAAGAGCATGTACACTGTGACCCATAGAAACAAAAATATAACATGCTTACAATCATTTTAAGGGTAATTCTGACATGTTTGCACTGTGGTGTTGTCATGGGATACAAGTCTCATTGTCAGAGTATCCCAAGGAAGAGAGGCCTGTGAAAGAGACCTGAGAAAGGTTCTCTTTATGGTATGATTCATGATAGAGAATAGATTACACTCAGGCTCCACAGCGGGCCTTATGATGTGACCTTGGATTGAGTCTTTGTATTTCGGTCTTGAAGTATGTTTGTAAGATGGAAATGATACAATCTATGATTGGAAGAGTTGTTGTGACAAGTTACCCTTTCAGTTACTTATTCTTTGTGACCAAATACCTGGCAATAAGCAATTTAAGGGAAGATGTATTCTGGCTTACAGTTCAAAGGGATCATTTTGTCATGGTCTGGCAGCATGGGAGGAGGCAGGAGGCATACACCGTAGTTAACTTTTCAAATTACTTTTCCAACTTTTCAGTACATGACCAAGGCAACTGATAGATGAAAGGACTTCCATGGGACTTAAAGTTTCTGAGGGTTAGAGTCCATGACTGTCATGGCAAGGACCAATAGCAGCAGGCATGGTACTGGAGTGTAGTAGCTGAGAAGTTAGATCTTGATCTGCAAGTAGGAGGCAAAGATACCTAACTAGGAATATGTGAGCCTTCTGAAACCTCAAAACCTGCCCCCAGTGACACACCCCTTCCAATAATGCCACACCTCCTAATCCTTCTCAAACAGTTCCACCAACTGAAGTTCAAATATTCACACAATGGCCCATGGTGGCCATTCTAATTCAAACAGCGCAGCATAGCAGCAAAAGCCAAGAGTCCTGCTGATCACTGAGCATCTTCATTCAAGAGAGAGTGAATAGGAAGTAGAATCAGCCATAAAACCTCACACACCCTCAGTTACTTCCTCTTCCTGTGGCCTCATCATAACACTCACAGTTAGCTGGATGTTGCAGACTGTCTATAACAAACCGTACTATTCTCTAATAAGACCTCCTTTTGATTCTCTGTGCCTTGCCTTTATTTCTAATACTCATTGTGACTAGAAAGGAAGTGTATAGGTAGGGACTGCGACTTCTCCATCTACCAACCAAGTATTTGTATTTAACTAGTACTACAAATGTGACCTACTTGGAATTCCACTATTTAATCACATTTTAAAATAATGAGGCCATTTTTAGAAATGAAAATTGGAACTACTTTGTGATTTACTGGCTAAAATGTGTAGGGCATCTTAGAAAATATTATAAATGTTTAAGAAACTTAGAGAATTGTGTTCTCTAAATTTATTTTTCATGTTTTATAATAGAATAGTTTAATAATAGAATAGTCTTTAAGGTCATTGTAATCATGATGACATCAAAAAATAATTTTGTAATAGCTACTTAAGAAAGCAATTCTACTTAGAGAATAACATACAAAACTTGTTTCTTGACAAGAATGACCTTCACGATTTTCACAACTATTTTATTTGTGGCTCATAAACCGTGGCTGATGAATCACTCTGTAGTGATTGGCATGTTTTAAATTTGAAGTTGTTACTCACTGTGCGGGAAGACTGCACTGAGTATGGTCATAGGAAGTGTCATCAGTAGGCATTTTTATCCCGTGTGTACCACGTAGATGGATTGAACCCATCTGAATTTTCATGGCTTACTACTGATATTTCTATTAACAATAAAGAAACCAAATTCTAGTATCCAGCCCAGCTCTTTGAGAGATTCTGTGATGTGATATCAGAAGCATGGGACTCAGACTAAATATTAAGTGGATGCAAACTTTGATCCATTTCAGACTGTGTCCCAAGGCCATGTATATGAGCTCTCTATACTTCAGTGTACTGAAAATGCATTATAAGGGTTTGCAGATGTTATGTGAGCAAATCATTTGTGTTCTGCCCTGTATTTTTCTTTGTATTATAACTCTATTTAAGGAAGTAGAATGGCCTTTCAAATTAAGTGACGATCTGGAAGAAGCTTAGTTGGTATTTTTCTTGACCCCAGGTTTCATCTGTATTAAGACACAAAGAGAAATGGATGTAAGAAGCTCATGCCTGGCTGTATTATCTCCTAAGTACTCACTGTTGTTTCCTTCTCCCATCTGAGTAATCTCCTTGGCTATCACTAAGGGGAACCTTTTCAATACTTGGTGTCATAAGTGGATGCCTTTCATAAGATTATAGGCTCATCTTGCTTGAACCATACATGAATATTGTCTGTCATCTCAGCAGCTTTACTCCATCCAGCCATCCGAATGGAGACACCCTGTCTTGTGACCAACAAAATTCTGCCACAGAAAATGCTTTTTTGTCTAAGGCCATACCGCCTTTGACTACTGCTCCCCATCTCGTATGATGTCAAAAGCTGAGCAGGGCCAGGCTGGGTTAGTGTTTGGTTGGGAGCATGCCACTCTATCCCTAAAGCACTGTTCTCCATTAGCAATCTCTGGTGTACATAATTTGCACTGAATTGATGTGACATTCTTTTGTCCCTCTGTCCTTTCTCCCTTGAACTTCTAATTCGTCCTCCTTTCTTGCACAACTAAGATTCTAGGAACCAATATTTCAGCTGTCCCTTTGCCAGTATCTCAGACTTCATTCTCACTTTGATTCTTGTGACTTCTGCTCATATATCTTTCAGTTAAAGTATTTCATAAAGCATTATTAAATGCCCTCAACCTCAGTTTTCATGGCTATGATACCTACCTCGTTGGATAAAATGAGATAAGCATATACGTACAGTTTAACCTGCCCTTTCAGCCATGAGAACAAAAAAAAAAAAAAAAAAAAAAAAAAAAAAAAAAAAACTATGAAGAAAGTATTCAGTTATGTTTCCAACTGGCATTCTCCACAAGTAATTAAAAGTAACTAAATTCTAATATCTAATCCAGCACTGTTTAGAAATAGTTTGCACCTGTATTGCTGCCTACTGCCAAAATACTTGCCCAGCCAGGCAGCTTCATGCAATGTACACTTGGCATCACTAGCCTCTAGAAAGTCCTTAAGATCTACACATTGTAAGCAAATTCATGAATTTTTAAAAGACAGATACTTAAACATTTAAAATAACCGAAATGCATGTTTGGATTTTAGGAATCTCCGAGAAGCCAGGGATAATGCTCTCGCTGAAAAGAGCCGAGCAGTGGCAGCTGAAAAGGATGCTCTAGAAAAGCATGAGCAGCTCCTTGAAAGGTAAGATGGAAATGCTAAAATTCTTCTGTGATTATTCCTGTTGCATTTTCCTCTTAGAAAAATGTGTTTTAAAGCCAGCCATAGTAGAGTATGCCTAAAATTCCAGCACTGAGGTAGGCAGAAGGCTGGGAGTTGGAAGCCAGCCTGGGCTTCCTCCTGTCTCAAAAAAAACCAATGTGGGGTGGATATATGTGTAATAGAACTATGATTTTCATTTCAGTTGTAATACAATTTAAATGCATATTTTTTGTAATTGTTAACAAGTATCGAAACCATGATATAGAACAGTTAAGTCACTTCTGAGAGTTCCCTTCTAGAGACAGCAGCATTGGTTTCTCTACTGTCATCGGCCTTGTTCTTCCTAGACAAAACGTCAGTGGAATCATACATTATTTACTCTCTTGGATCTAATTTCCTTGATTCAGCATTGGTGTTCTATCCATTTTGATATTGAACATTCCATAATTATGTGTCTGAATATACCAGTTTGTTAACCTATCCTCCTGTTGATGAAAAAAATGGGGGTTATTTTCAGTTGCAGCTACCAAAGTCAAGCTGCTATAAACATTCTTAGTCAAGTTCTGTGTATATGTATATGTGAGTACATGTTTATGTATGTGTGTGAGCACATGGTTGTGTGTGTGAGCACATGTGTTTGTCTTTGGTAGACACCCAGGAGTGGAATTGCCAATCATTAAGGCACAACATATTAGTGTAAAAAAATTCTGTGAAACTTGTTCCGAAGTGGTTGTACCATTGTACACTCCCCAAATCATTTGTCAAAATCTGTGTGTTCTAAGAGTGGTTTTTGTAGGAAAGCAGGAGAAAATGCTTTTGTCTTCTGTTACCTGCCCAGTTATTTTTATTAGTCCAGTGAAGAGGAAATTAGTGATAACCATGAAGTTGAAGTTAAAAGAGTATCACTTTGACTGAGATGCTCTGAATTTTATTTGACCACATGTAGACCAAGGAATGTTTTTTTTCTTTCTTTGTGAAATTTTAGACAGAAGAGTTGATGAAATAGTATAGATAGTTCACATATGCCTTTCATACAGTAATAAGCCTTTGAAATTGAACTCAATGTTTCTTTTATTGATAAATGAAGCCCTACAGATTAATTTGTAAATCTTTTTAAAAGTTCAGGTTTCACTGTTACCCAGGCTGGCCTCAAAGTCTCATACTTCTAAATGATCTTCCTGCCTCGGTCTCCCAAGTAACTGAGACTACAGGCACTTGCCACCATGCCTGGTTTCTAATTTATAATTTAAGCAATATGTGCAACTAACATTTGGGCCAGGATATAGTTTAAGTGGAAGAGCTTTGCAGAGCTTTTGAAAGGCCATAAGTTGGATCTACAGGCCTAGAAAAAAAAAAAAAAAAACAAGCAAACAAACAAAAAACACACACTAAAAAAATGATATAAAGCAGAGAAGAATAAAGAATAATAGAAATTGAACTACAGAATAAGCTGAGTGAATTTTAATAGGAATATATGCAAGAACACAGGCTTGTGTTAGACTTGACTTGAGGGTTTAAAGTGACACATGAAAATGGCGGTTGATAATGGCGTCAAATGGAGAATGTGCTCTTCGATGATCTATCCTTCAGAACCCTGCTAAGATCGAAGAAAAATGACCCAAACTGGGAAAATTCAGAGACACCTTATAGTGGTAAATTAAAGCTGTCCAAGATATTTGAACAATTCACACATGAAAGCTGATTTCTATATACCTGAAAAACCTGAAGCAGCAAAATGAAGATTTCCAGACAAATATGTCACTGTAAAAAGAAACACTTTCCAGTGGAGCTTTTCACAATGCTGTACTTGATAGATACTTCTGTCAGTAGATACTAAGACAAGCAGATGGGCGGCTTGTGGAATGTGAGGTCCCCCATTTAAAAAACCTTAAATTTACTAGTTTTTGTTAAATCCTTTCTGTAATATTCCTACGTGAAGCCCCCCCTTTGTAATCCATGTTGTGTGACAGTTGCTTCTAAGAATGGTACACTGGCTAAGTTAGCACATAAAAGGAGTGGAGAACTCACTCATTTGACAGTATTATTTTGAGGATCTCCATATTCTCTTTTTTTCCTTCAAATAAACCTTAAAGTTGAGACTGTGACTTGACAAAGATGCTGCCGTCTACATCCACATCACATGAATACTGGCATTTGAGTTGCAATGAAGCAAGTGGTTGAGTTTGTGTTTAGTGTAAGGCCTTGGACTTCATCCTAGCACAGCAATAGTACATTAATATATGTGTATATGGACTTAGTTTACTGAAAGTTTTCAGTGTGGACTCCCAGATGCTTGGCCTAATGTACTTTGGTATACTTTTTATTTCTTATTTTGTAATTCTGGGGCATTGAACCCCAGATCTTGTGTATGTCACTTAGACACCTCACCAATAAGACATACTCCTAGCATGTTTTAGGAATGTTATGTGTTCTAGTAGTAGTAGTAGTAGTAGTAGTAGTAGTAGTAGTAGTAGTAGTAAAACATGAAGTTTATGTTAGTAATGTCCAAATATGTAATTCTGACTTCCTTTTTGTCAAAATGAGAATAAATAAATGTGTTTTGCTCTTTATAATGAATGTGGCATTGCTAAATCATGTTTAAGTCCAGCATCCAATATGTTCCAGTCATGTATAATTAGTATCATTTCTTTTTATTTGAGGTTTTATCAAATGCTTCATTTATATGGTTAAACAACCCATGCCATTATACAAAAGGGAAGCAGTGTACCTTTTTCAAACATGAGTGAAAAAGGCGTTTTCTCAAAGATTTTTAATTTCCTACAAAGAGAAGGACTTTTCTTTGGGATATACACAGGTCTTTTATATCCCAATTTCTAACACAGTAAAGTCTCTAAAATCAAGTAACAACTATCCAGTACTTGAGAACACAGGCCCCGCATTAGCTCCTGTCCTGTTGCTTTGAATCTCTGTAGACTCTGGGGTTACACCCACAAAAAAGAAACATTAGAAGCGAGTCAGTGTGGGTACCAGAAAAGAGGTATACTCGCTACAGAAGGAAGTCTGGACCTGACACTACTGTATAAGTACACTATTGAAAATTAACTTGCCATGTAATATTCTCAACTATAGTTTTATCTTGTTTTAAAAAAATTTCCTCATCCAGACATACATGGTCCTCTGGAGAAGGGGAAAGGGTCAAGATCCCCTGTGCAAATTGAGAGCACGGGAAGAGGGGGGAGGGATCTAGGAGAATGAGAAGGGGAGAAGAGGAAGGATGCAGAGGTCATGAGGGAGCAGAATGGTTGGGGGGGGTGTAGATGAGAAGAAAGGATATGTGATAGGTAGGGTTTTAGTGGGGGAGGGAGGGGAGGATGGGAGGGAGAAGGGAACTGGGATTGTCATGTAAAACAGTCTTGTTTCTAATTCAAATAAAAAAATGATAAAAAAATAAAAAACAGGTCATTAAAAAAAATATTTCCTCATTCAGTCTTGATATAAGGATTTGTGCCTAGTCTTATTATAATTCATATGCCGTGTATGGTTGATTTCCCTGGGAGGCCTGGCCTCTTGTGAAGGGAAAGGAGGAGTGGACCCTGGGGAGGGGGAGGGAGGGACACTGTGGTCGGGATGTAATATATGAGAGAAGAAGAAATAAAGGGAAAAAAAAGCAATGCAGTGGTGGCACCTTAATCCCAACACTCGGGATGCAAAGATAATCAGATCTCTGAGTTTGAAACCAGCCTGGTCTACAGAGTGCATTCCAGGACAGCCAGGCTACACAGAGAAACCCTGTGTCAAAAAAAAAACAAAGAGAATAAAAAATCCTGGCTGGATATGATGTGCACATCCGAGGCAGGAAGATCAAGAAGAGTTCAAGGCTATCCTCAGCTACATAGAGAGTTTGAGGCCTACCTGAGGGACAAAAGATACTGTCTCAAAAAGTTAGAGTAATGTATGTTTGAGATGTGGTGGGTTGGCCTATTTGTTCGTTTGTTCGTTTTTCCTTTTTTACAACCTTTTTTAAGTCTTTTTTTTTTCTCCATTTTTTCCATTTTCATTTTACATTCTAACCACAGTTCTCCCTCCCTTTCATTTGTTTGGTTAGTGTTACCCCAAGACATTTTATATTTGTGGCTTTTATAAAGGGTGATATATTTCTGATTTTTTTTTTCTCAGCCCCTTTATCGTCTGTATATAGGAGGGCTACTGATTTTTTTTTTTTTAATCTTGTATCCTGCCACATTACTGAATGTGTTTATCAGCTGTAGGATTTCCCGGGTAGAATCTTTCGGGTCATTTATGTAGACTATCATATCATCTGCAAATAATGATAGTTTGACTTCTTCCTTTCCAGTTTGTATCCCCTTCATCTTCTCTTGTTGTCTTACTGCTCTAGCTGGAACTTCTGGTACTATGTTGAATAGATAAGGAGAAAGTGGACAGCCTTGTCTTGTTTTTGATTTTAGTGGTATCGCTTTGAGTTTCTCCCTATTTAGTTTGATATGGGCTATTAGCTTGCTGTAAATAGTCTTTGTTATCTTTAGGTATATTCCTTGTACCCCTTATCTCGTCAAGACTTTTACCATGAAGGGGTGTTGGAATTTATCAAAGGTTTTTTTTTTGTTTTTTTCAGCATCTAGTGAGATGATCATGTGGTTTTTCTTTCAGATTGTTTATATGGTGGATTACATTGACAGATTTCTGTATGTTGAACCATCCCTGCATCTCTGGGATGACACTTGTGAATAATTTTGTGTGTGTGTGTGTGTGTTCTTGGATTCGGTTTGCCAGTATTTTATTGAGTATTTTCACATCAATGTTCATGAGGGAAATTGGTCTGTAGTTCTTTATTATATCTTTGTGTGGTTTGGGTATCAGGGCTACTGTAGCCACATTATAGAAGTTTGGCAATGTTCCTTCTGTTTCTATTGTTTAGAACAGTTTGAGGAGTTTAGGTATTAGCTCTTCTTTGAAGTTCTGGTAGAAAGAATTCTGTGCTGAAACCATCCAGCCCCGAGCTT